ATTCTCCAAGACTGTGTACACAAACATCATCAGATACATGTTAGTGGAGAAGTGTGTCTCCTTTCCCTGAGTACACCAGGCCTGTCCCGATGCCCCAAAAGTGGTAGCATGGTGCTTCTGAGAGACAAGGAACTAAGGAAACACTGAGTGTTCGTGCAGTCACTGTGTACTCATTCATACATTCTATGTTCATTCATTCACTCACGTGTTCAACAGTATGTGCCAAGGCTACCTTACCCATGGAGCTCCCGACCCCATGGAGAGAAAGAGGCTACCGAAGGCATGAAACCACAAGGTCCGGGAAACCATAACTCTAACATCACTTCCCAGGTGTTGTTCACTGGGGAGGTGCAGCACTTTACACTTTGTGAGAAGAAAATCTTCCTGGCAATGAGAACTATCTGATCTCAGTGGTTCCAGCGCCTGCCTCGAAGGCGCAAGGTCCCAAGCTTGATCCCTGGTTAAAAAAAAAAAAGAACTATCTGATCACAGATGGCTCAGGGCTGGGTAAGGAGGGGGATTCCTAGCAGACATCAGAGGCCCTTCTGTAAGGATGTGGGAAGGGGATTACTGTTTGTGCAGGGCTCAAGTGAGGCTGGGCTTCCCCCCAACGGCTGGAGGATCAAGGAGCCCTGTGGTGCTGGTTCTAGTCCCAGCAATGCCTCTGACTAGTTACCTAATCACTCCACACCTCAGTTTCCTGATCTGCAAAATGGGGTAATTACAATGAGGATTAAAAATATGTTCATATTTATAACACCTTGTAGAATGTGGTCTGGCCCAAAGTGAACACTACGTTGCTAAATAAATAAGGCAAGGAGAGTCTACAAGATTCTAAACCCAAGACTGGATCATGTGAAAACTCCAAGTGTCAAAGGTTCTGAGCTGGAAAGCTGCTCAGATGCTAAGGTTCTGAGATTGGAAGAGGCTGGAATGATTAGATTCCACAATTTAATCATCTCATTATTTCCTAACAACAACCCTAGGCCTCCTGGGGGAAGGAGGAGACAGATCTCAGTGTGACTTCATCTCCCAGGCACTACCAGGCCACCAGGGCTGTGCCACACCTGCACTCCCAGCCTTGCCTCACCTCTACTAAGGCCTCTGCCACACCACACTAGAAGCTGATGTGGATTTTAAGCACATTCTAGTGGTGCAGACAGCAAGAAGTGCAAAGAAACAAATAAATGAGGTTTCAAATACTGAAAGCCACAAAAGAAAACAAAAAGAGGCTCATGTGACAGAGACTGACAATAAGAAACTACTGTATTCTAGAGAAAATGGTCAGGAAAGCCCATTAGATTCAGATGGTCCCAGCCATGCAAAGATTTAGGGAAAAGAATTCCAGTCAAGGGAATGTGCAAAGACCCTACCAACAGGCTTTGTAAATTTAAGGTGCAGGAAGAAACCAGAGTGGCTGGAGGTAGTGAAATTGGGGCCAGGGATGGGAGGCTAAGGAAAGTGGGCAGGACCACGACCATGAAGGGCTTTGTAGGCCCAGAAAGGACTTGGATTATTTTTCTTCTAAATGCCCATGAAATTGTGAGTTTCGACAGAGAATGACAAAATAGAGCAGGGCTTTCACAGGGTCCCCAGATCATTTGGCTGGTTCTAAAACCACCACCCTGGTTCACAAAGTCAAGAAAGGGCCTAGGACGGTAATTAACAATCCTTATAATTCAGTGTGTATATCCTGAGCTCCTACCACACACTGGCCAGGACCAGGAGACAGGGCAGACAGTGCACTGTTACCACTACCCAACCCCATGAGAGAGCATTTGCCATTTCAGAGATGAGGAAACCAAGGCTCAGAGAGAGAAAAAAAAATGTGCTGAAAGCCACACAAGCTATGTGACACAAATCGTACTTGATTTTAGAAGCCTGGTCCACCATTGTTGACAGTCTATGGAATTCCTTCGGTGCTTCCAAGTCTCCTTATTCTCCAGAAGACTCTCCCTGGGGACTTGCATAGGCAATGAGGAAATGCTGCCCTGGCCAGTGCTTTATGCACCTGCATGCCTACCTCTTCTTCCTCATAGGCTTTAGAGCCCTGGAGGGGTACACTTGTATTTCACATCCATCTAACCAAGGCTGGGTGAGCCAGGGATTGGATGGATGGAGGGATGGTAAACACATAAGACTACTGAAATGAGTAGCCAATAACTAATGGACAATGGGATAATTAATGATCTAGCAACAAATGAATGAATAAACTAACCCATGGCAGAATAATGAATGAATGGAGAGAGGCAGGGTAGCAAAGTACTTGCCTAGGGAAGGGCCAAGCCAGGTCACATCTCATTCCCATACCAGCTTCTTCCTTTCTACCTGGAACCAGCTTGTTGCATTCCCTAAGACTGCAGGTTACCTATTCTTCAGCCTCTGGGACAAACCCATGTCCCTACCAAGTACTGGCCATTATGCCCCTGCCCCAGCCCCATCACCAGCAACTGCCATTTCCCTCAGCCCTGCGGAGCTGGCATTGGGTAGAATGGTTCACTGTCCTTCTGAATGTCTCATAGAGGAAAAGAGATAAAAGGCCACAACTGTGGTACTAGCAAGAACTAGAAACTACTGGGTGACTTCCATCCAGCCAGTGGCTTCCCCTCTCTGAACCCCAATGACATCCCGGACCTCTCCATCTCTGACATTCTTTGGGATGGGAGGGTGGGCTCCTGGATTTTTGTCCAGATAATGGGGTCAGCAGAAAAATTAGAGAGAACAAAAACTATTAGTTGGGAAAGAGTCCTACACACAAGCACCAAAATCTGCCCAGGAAAGGCCCAGACACGGAGTCCATAGGCCTGAATTTAAACCCTTTTCTGCTACTGTCCAACCTCTCCAGGCCTCAGTTTCCTGAATTTTATAATGGGGCCAATTATCCCCACTTTAACACTTCACCCCAGCTGAGTTCCCAGGACAGCCTGACCTTACAACAGCCAAGCACCACACTGCACAAACTGTAAAGTTCCATTCCCTAAAGAAGGATTATGATGCTGGGGGTCAGGGAGAGTGAAGGGATCATGCTGACCCATTCTAGTCCAGTTCCTTCCAGGCATCAAGGCTCCAAATGGAGAACAGTGAAGAGAGCTGAGCAGTGGGACCCTGGACATCTGAGTCCTGGGCTCAGCTCTCCTTCTTCCTGGCAGTGTGACTATGGGCAAGTCACTTCCTTTTCTGGACCTCTCTGTTTCTTTATGTAAAATATGCCTGGCTTGGTACCCTCAGACCCAGGCTAGCCTAGCTCTGAACCCCTGACCCTCAACCTCCAACTCCTGACTCTGTCCTCAGAGAGCCCGAACAACCCTGTGGAGCCAGGACCCAGGCCAGGGATGCAACTTGAGGATGGACTCTCCAGGAAATGGTGGTAGGCAGGGACCTCCCAGGACAGACAGGCTTCCCAACAGGGGAAGGCCAGGCCCAGCCCTGCGTGGTGCCTTGGACAGCAGTGGTCACCCCAGATTTGTGGTCCTGATCTTCAGGCCCCTTTGTAGCCTGCAGAGCCAGCAGGTCCAGACCTGTCCAGCCAGATACTTCGGGAACTTACAAAGTCCAAACCATCTCCAATTTGGGAGCCTCCAGGGTGTCGGAAGGGGTGGCAAAAGGGATACAACTAGAAGAAGGGGAGTGGCCCACAAATCAGAGACTAACAAATCAGCCACCCCTCAGCACCAGATGGGACCCACTGGGGCTGTACCTGGCCAAAGCCGGCCACCAAGGGCTCTCATCACTAGATACCACCTCTGAGGGTCAGGAGGACCACCAGATTGGGGAAGGGATTCTCCAATTGCCCAAGCGGGGGGGGGGGGGGGCAGCACAACACCCAGGGCTCGATTCAGCCTACCAAGGGACCCTGGCCACCCAAGGAGAAAGGCCCACCCCTACACAGGCTTCTGGAGGCTCCACACTGCTGGAAGGCAGGGTGGTGAAAGCAGGATTATTTCCTTATGTCCAGGGTCTTAGCTGGAAACCTTGGGCCCACTCCGAGCCCCTAGAGTCAGCCCTCTCACCCTAAATCTGAGAATATAGTCCCTTACAATGCCATTTGTATAAAGCCCTTTCCAAAAGACATTCCCTAGTTGCCCCAAAACTCCCATCCCCAACCCTCCACGTCCCCTTGCAAAGCTCTGAGCAAACCGGCAGTTAACTTTTCCCAAAAACCCCGCAAAGGCGGCTAGCTGGGGGTGGGGTGGGGGAAAGAAATGGACCCCAAGATCCCTTCGCGGCATCTCACCGCCTTCCTCCCCCCCAAAAAAACGCTTAGAAAAAGAAAAGAAAAGAAAAGAAAACTTTCGGAGTTAACTTTAAATTCCTAGTCCTCCCCCCTAAATCGCCCGGCAGCTTCCCCCCTTTTTTTTCTTTAAAGTGCAATTGCATTGTGTCTCACCTCCCCGAAAGGCTCGCGGCTCTCGCCAAAGAAAAGGAAAAAAGCCAACCCTTCGGGTGCCCCCTCTGCTTCCAGCCGCCTCTCCCACATTCTCAGACAGTTTTATTAAAATTTTCAGACAAAAGAAAAACAAAAATGGCAGCCTGGCTTATTTTTAAAACAGGACAGGGACGCCATATTCTGCAGATCTGCAAAAAAAGGGAGAAATCCGGCACTGGCCGCTCCACCGGGCCGGCAGCAAAGTGCGCGAACCGCGCCGTTTGCAATCCGTTTATTTGCATTAAGCCCCATGAATCATTGTTTACCGGAGAATTGCAGCAGGTTTGAATAGCCCGGCTTAAGAAAACACACGCACACACACATACACGCACTCGCACACACTCTCGGAGACCAGCCCCAGACACGCCGCCCTAGACACTTCCTACCCCGCGCGCCGCCGCTGCCCCGGGCCCGGCCCCAGGCGCAAGCGGCCCCGGCCCTCGGGGCGTCCCGGCCCGGCTGACAGCGCCCGCGCCGGCCCGGCTCCCGCCCGCAACTCGGCGCAACTTTCCCGCGGGCAGGCGGGCACCCTCGCCGCCGGCCCGCTCCCCGCGCGCCCCGGGCCCGCACGGACCTTGCGGTTGCTGGAGGTGCCTCCGGGACGCGGCCGCAGCCCCGCGCCCGGCGGCCCGAGCAGGGCCGGGCTGGGGCTCCGGCTCCGGGCTCGGGCTCCCGCTTGGTGCGGAGCCGCGCGCAAACCTTCCGGGTCGCCTGCTGTTCACTTCTGGGTTCTGCAAGCGCCGAGGCGGCGGCGGCGGTGGCGGCGGTGGCGGCGGCGGCGGCGGGAGGCTGGGTCTGCGGCGTCGCGCGGCCCCCCGTGCGCTCCGCGAGCCCCTGCGCCAGGCGCCCGGCTCCGGGTTGGGGGGGCCGCGTTGGGCCCCCGCCTCTCCGGCTGCACAGCCCGTCCGGCCCCGGGGCTTCGGTGAGTGGGCAGCGCCCGGCGCTGGCAACGGCGTGAGGGGAGGGGGCGGAGGGGCCGACGGGGGCGGGCCGCGCGCTGGGGCCCCCGCTCGCGCCCCGGGGCCTCGTCTCGCGTTTCCCGGCCGCCGCAGCCGCCCAGCAAAGTTGCGCGGCGCCCCCCGCCCGCGCCGCGCCGGAGGCAGAGCCACAAAGGAACTCCTCGCCCCCTCCGCCCGCCCGAGCCGCGCGGGGAGGGCACCGACGCCCGGCCCTAGGACGGCCCCTTCCCCAGCGCGGGGGCTCCCGGAGCCCGGGCGGCCGCGGCCATTGTCCCGCCCAGGCCCGGCCGCCGCCTCTCCACCCCCCTCCGGGTGATGGCGGCCGGGGACTCGGGCCTGGCGGGCCACGGCCCTAACCGGCAGAACCCGCGCGGTACCAAGATGTCCCGGGGGTTTGCCCCCGGGAAGACTGCAGGATAGAGGAGATCCCCAGAATGGACTCACACCTGATAACAAATGTTCGTGCTCAAAATCCAGACTGAGATTTTTTTTTTTGTAAGTCGAGGACAAGGGAGTAGGGGCAGAAGTTTGCACAGGCAGGCCATCCCTTCCCAGCCCTAGGCCTGAACTCCAACGGACAGGGCAGCCGGAGGCTGGCAGCGGCTCTTCTCGAAGTCTATCAGAGGTGGCACCGGCGGTCCCCTAGCTCCAGACCTCAGAGCTATCCGTGTGACTCCTCCTCCCGCTTCACCCTCCCCAGCCAATCAGTCACCAAGTCCTCCTGATTCGGCCTCCCGGGCCGTGTCAGTTTCAAAACTTTACTTCTACAGGAGGAGCCGGCTGCCCCTTTCTCTGGAGGATTTCTGTACGCACAGAGCCACCCAGTTTCTAGGCCTAGATGAATCAGAGCTTGTCCTGCCCTCAGGGAGCATCCAGTCCCTGGGCAAGGACAAACACAGAAACAATCATCTGTCTTTTAGGAAGCATTCCAACTCAGTAAATATTTACTGAGTAAATATTACCTGCTGCACTCCAGACACTGTGATTGACTGGGAGCACAGCCGTGAACAAGTTGGACCAAGCTCCTGCCTGCATGGAGAGTCCAGTCTAGCAGATTGGCAAATGCTGGCGGGCAACTGGAGGACAGTACTCAAAGAGGCTGTTTGTTCCCTGGCCCCAAGCGCAGTGCACTCCCTGCACGGGGCAGAAGCACTGTATATGTGGCATGAAATAGAATTACAAGGCGCAAGGCACAGAGGGAGAACACAGACGCTATTACTCCTAGAAGGGTGGGAAGGATTTTCAGAAAGTGGCTGTGGGGTGAGACAGGTAGGGAAGAAAGGCCTTCCAGCTCCAGAAATGAGAGTGATGAAAGTACCAACTCATGGAGTAGTCTCCCAACATGATACATCAATAATGGGGATGGGGGGGATTCTCTTCTGCGCAGGTGTGGGCTGTGCCTAGTACTTCCGTCCATAGAGCATGGCAGGGCAAAGGAGGGAGAAGAAGGACTTTACAGTGGAAATGCTGATGACTACTGCCCCATCCAAGTGACAAAGGCCATCTACAATCATGAATCATGTCAGTAGTATGAACAATTGATATTATGTGATAAAAATGGCACTTTTGGGTCTTCCTCACAGTAACCCAGAAGCCCAGGCTTGTCGTGGGAAACACAATAGTGAAGCATCCAACAAAATACCTGACTGGTACCCTTCAAAACTGTCAAGATCATCAAAAACAAGGAAAGTCTGAGAAAGTATCACAGCCCAGAGGAGCTTGAAGAGACATGACAACTAAATGTAATGTGGTATCCTAGATGCAATACTGGAAATTAGTTTTAAAGGGCATTTTAAAAAACTAAAGAAATTTCAATAAATTATAGACTTTAGTATATTAATAAAACTGTCCATCAATAATTGTAATAGATTACTAATAAAGAAAATGCTAGGAGAGGATACAGGGGAACCCTCTGAGATGTCTTCAAAATCTTTCTGTGAATCTAAAAATATCCTAAAGCACTGGCTTGATGGCACATGTCTGTAATTCCAACATGGGAGGCTGAGGCAGGGACTGCTTCAAGTTAAAAGCCAGCCTGGGCTACATAATGAGTTCAAGGCCAGCCTGTACTATATAAACCTGTCTAAAAAATCACCCCCCAAAGAAAATCCTAAAACATAGTCTATTAAAAAGAAAAAATCTTTTAAAAGTATATTAACTGTGGCATCGTTGATAGGCTCAATAAAATAATGTTCATCACAGCACCTGACGTTCTAAGGGTTATCAAGTTATGTTATCACCACTGTCATCGGTACTTAGAGGGGTTTAGGGGGAGAGGGAGAGGGAGAGGAAGACAGACTCCTCATGGCCTTGGCTGCTGGGCTGGGGCCTTTGGAAGGGATTTCTGGGGGGCAGGTTCCATGACCTGGCCCTGCTTTCCCTCGTCAGCTCCTCTCTGACACCCAGAAAGCTATGCTCCAGCCAGCTACATGAGCTGCCATCTCAGACCTTGCCAACTCCCCTCTCTAGGCATCTGCACATGCTGTTCCCTCTGCCCAGAACACCGTCTCCTGCTTTCACCCCACCTTCCCAGGGCACCTTCAACTCAGCCTTCAGGCCTTAGCTTAGATTCTGTCTTCAAAAGCCTTCCAGTTCCTTCTGAGATGCTGTGGAAGATGGCCTGAATGGAGCTAGTATGGCATCAGGTATAGGAAGCCAAGATGGAGACTCTCAGCTCTTTAGCCACTAAGGGATTTAGGTCAGTGAGTCCCTAACATCTAGGAGCTGAACACTCACTAGAAGACAGAGTGGAGGATTGTGCATGAATTTTTCACTACTTCAGCCTGAGAGTGATAGACACCACTTCTCACCATCCATTGGCCAAAACTAATCACATGGCCTCCCCTACTGCAAGGGAGTCTGGGAAACAGTGCTCACTGGGAATGAGAAGGGGAGTAGACATCAGTGATATGGGCAAACTCTCCCACAGACTGTTCTGAAAGACAGAATTTAAACAAGAATTTTTAAGTTACTATATATTTAGGTCTCATGAAGGCCAGGAAGGAGAGGTTTAAAGTGTCTGGAGAATGGCTGAGAGGTGGTCAGGGAGAGTTTCCCAGAGAAAGCGACATTTAAACTGAGGGTAGAAAAGAGCTGAGGAAAGAATGTCTTTGGTAGAGAGAATAGTGAAGGAAGAAGCATGCAACACTGAAGGGACAGACAGTACAGTGGAGCTGGAGTGGAACACGAGGTACTGTGAAATGACACTGGGGGATGGCCATCCCAGTGAGCCTAGGTAGGTGATGTTTTAGGGTTTTAGTTAAAGGGCAATTGGGAGTATGGGGAGGTAGCAGTTCAGTGATCTGTGGTCCAACTTCTTTCTCAAAGGCCCCTGTGGCCACAGGAGAGAATGCACTGGGAAGCAGGGACCCAGTGGGAGATCTTCAGATGAAGAATGGCTTGGGTCTTGGTGGCATTGGCTTGGGCTTTGGTGACATAGGCAGAAGTGGAGAGAAGTGGACAAATGTGGGTCACTTTAGGAACAGTGTCACCAAGACGTGGTGATTGATGGGTGTGGGGAGTGCCCAGGAATTCCCAGGTTTTTCAGCCCCCATCATGTCCCTTTCAAGGCTGTCTTTAATACATGAGGACATGAGCATGTCATATTGAGACTTTGATGTGAAGAAAGTCTATCTCTTTTCCCTGCCCACAAGTCAAGTGAGCTACCACCTCACCCCTAAAGTGGGGTGTACCTCCCATCATAATGAAAAGCAGTCTCAGGCAGCAGCACAGGCAGTTTGTACTTGGACCCCTCAAGTAGTTCTGAGAAGGAGGCTGGCAGAGGCATTTTTCCCATTTCACAGCTGGGAAAACTGGGGCCCATAGGTAGGAAGTAGTTGGTTAAATCTTGGAGCTGAATCTCTAGCTAAGGTCCTGCAACTCCTGGTCCAGAACTTGTTTTGCTGCAGTGCCTGGCACATGGTGAGTGCTACATGGTGTGTGCTACATGGTGTGAGCCGAGCCGAGCCGAGCTGAGTGAGTGAGGATATGAGGTCGCTGTCCATTTACTCTCTTCACCTTTGCTTATTTGTTTTTCTCAAGGACACTACAGAATTGTATTCACAGGTTAGGTTTAAGAGTCCAACAGCTGGGCTTTGAACCCTAGCTTCATCACTTACAGGCTGGTGTTTCTGTTTCTGGACTTCAGTTTTCTCAGGTACAAATTGAGCATGATAATTTATATCTTATAAAACTTGTATTAGAAGAGAATATGTGAGCTGGATATGGGGGTGCACACCTGCAATCCCAGCACTCTGGGAGGCTAAAGCAAAGGGATTACAAGTTTGAGCCCAACCTAGGCAATTTAGCAAATTAGTGAGAACTTCTCTCAAAATAATGAAAAGGTGTACTTCAGTGAAAAGGCCCTAGGTTCAATCCTCAGTGCCATAAAGGGAGAAAGGAGAGAGAGAGAGGAGAGAGAGGAGAAAAGAGAGAGAATGAATGTGTGGATTACACTGGAGTAATGTGGCTGCCTGTCCTTCAGACATCTGCTCCCACCTCCAATGTCCCTGGCAAATCTTCCCTAAGAAGCCCAGCCCACACTCCCCCGTCCCTACAGAAGCTTCCCAAGCCCTGCTCTGTCCACACCACCCAAGTTATGGTCCAGAGGCAAGAGGCCGTTCAACAGACTACTGCTCTGCCTGCTTAGGGCAGAGGAGGCATAATTCATTCATGTCCATGCGAAGCTCTCTGTCCTCGCCTTTTCACTTTCCTAAGGAGCAGGGCATGGAGGAAAAACTCTTCTAGAGAGACTCTGAGTATGTAGTTCTCTGCTAAGCAGAGACTTCCATAGAGATTTGGGTGTCTGTGGTTAGCCATGAGCTGAGCTGGAGGCAGAGGTCTACTTTGCTCTACATAATAAAATGTAGGGGATTATGATCTCCAAGTCTCTACATGGTTTGGTCCTCAACCAGACTCATTTTCCTCTGACCTCTGTCTCCAGCCACACAAGCCTCCTGTGAGTTGAAGAAAGGCATGGTGTTTCCTTTCGCCACAGGACCTTCGCATGGGTAGTCCTCTTGGAATGTTCCCCACACCACCACACCCACAGCCTAAGAAACTCCTACCTATCCACCCTGCCATGCCCCATAGCCACATCCTGGGGATGGCCTTCTGCTACCTTCAGGATGTTTCCATAGCTTTGTGGGTCTCTCCTCCTTTTGCACTCTTATCCCAAATATAATTCCGCATTCAGGTTTCTAATAGTCTGACATCACATTATAAATTTAATATACATTTTTTCATTAATCTAATTAAAAAGTGGTGGAAATCAAATTTTTTATGATGAAAGGGCCTACAAAATGAGCATGTTGAAATTCGAGCATTGTCTTGAAGTGGGGAGTGGTGCATAAAATGTGGGAACCTGAGAACAGAGGTGGCCAGGGGCCAGCAGCTGAGGGACTTGGACGAACAGGGCTATCTCTGCTTTCTTCCCTTCACTTTGCTATGATGCACCCGGGCCCTCTGTCCTTGAATATTTAGCAAAATGAATTGCATACTGCATGGCAAGTTGGCACCAGACTGGCACTGAGCAGAAAGTAAAGACAAGTGGAGGAGAGATAGTGCAGGTGCCTTGGGAGCAGAAAGTTGGAGTTAAAAGTGACCAAGACTTTGTAAGACACTGGAGTTTGAAGAGCTCTTGGGGACTTCATTGTATTTCTGCAAGATTTAAGATGGGAAATTCCAGTCAAATGCTATCTAAATCTCAAAGGACTGGGAGTCTGGGCTCCAAACAGGGAGAATGGTACAACTGATTAGCAATGCCTGTCACAAGCAGCGAGAGCCCAGAAGCCAGCCCAAGTAAATGGCTTGCAGGTCTACAGTTTAGCTAGGTGTTTTCTCACCCAGGGGTAAGGACTGTCTCAGTCATCTTTTGTGTCTCTGCCGTCAGTAGTGAGCTGGAGATTGTGGGGTAGAGGGAGTAGTAGGACAAAGGGCAAGGTACAGGGCAGAGCAAGCAGCAGGTCAGAGCCTCAGCTCAGCAGGTCAAGACATGTGGCTCCAGGTACTGACCCTGTTAAAACCCTGAGTGAGCTGGGCCTCAATTTCTCGCCTAAGAAATGGGCCAGTAGTACCCAGGGCAAGCTGTAAAGCAAGACTGGGAGGTTTTGAGGTCAGGTGCTAAAGGTCCAAATCTTCCCCTTAGATTTAGAACCTGAGGAGATCCCAGGCTTCTTATTTATAAATGGGGATAGTAATCCCTCCTTCACAGGAAAATGTGCTGGGGTTAGAAATAAATACGTATCATTATTTGCCAAGCATTTGCTGTAAGCCAGGCACTTGCTGGGCTTCTTCTGGGCAGATGTTGCCCTGAGAAGGTAGGGGGCCTAGTGCAGTGCCCAGGGCATGGTCAGGGGTCTGCCAGGGGTAATTCCCCTTTCCTATGGGATCTAAGGAGTTCACGGGTATGGAAGGGCTGTACCATCTACAATCCACCTTTCGGAAGGAAGTGAAATTGTCTATAGTAAGTATAGCTCTTCCCCAGCTGGCCCAGCAGTGCTCCCAGAGCACCACATGACAGATCTGCACCCAGCTCCCTTTTATGGTTGGCCTGGGGGCAGCCAGGGGAAAAGGGCAGAAGTGCCATAATGGAAGGGTAGACAAGTACTTTCCCTTATAATTACCATTTGGAGTAATTAAATAATAATAGCCTTTTGTAGGCCCTGAGAACTCAAAGCAGCCCACCTCCTAACATCTGGTTCCCCTTTCTTCTGCCAGGAATGGAATGCCCACAGGGACAGAATAGGGAAATTGAGGCAGAGAGGAAGAAGGCCAGTTGAGCCACATGTAAATATACGCCCCAGAGTGGCAGACAACTGGGGGCTTGTGCTTGGGCCTCCAGCTCCACTGCTCATGTGCTTATGGAGTCAGTGATTCACCCTCTCTGTAGGCCTCAGTTTCCCTATCTGCAAAATGAGATGAAGCCAAGCCCCAAGTGTATTGTTCTAGGTTTTATTCTGTTCATGCATAATCAAGGGCAATTCTTTTTGTACACCTAGGGTTTGTGTGTTAGTTACTTTTCCCTGGTTGCTGAGACAAAATACCCAGCATCCCAAGTTAAAGGGTTTATTTAGCTCACAGTTTGTAGAGAGGTTTCAATCCATAATCGGCTGGCTCCAAGGCAGAGTGGCACATGGCAGAGGGACACTACAGAGGAGAAACACTTCATGGCACCCACGTGGTAGCAAAAGCAGCAAGGGAACCTTAATAGCACCTTGCTGCCCCTTTGATCTTATCCAACCTACCGTGATTAGGGCGATGCCAAACCAATCAGTGTACTGGTTTAGTAATCACACACCCTTAATCCCAGCATCACACACTCTAGATTCAGCCACCTCTCAAAAAGCCACCTATGAGGCTTTGGGGGACATCTAGACCCAAACCATAACAGTTTGCAAGAGACAGAAATCTACCTTAGGCTAACAAGTAAGCAGCAAAAGGGAGTTACAGAGTCCAAGAAAGGGTTGAATAACTAAACTGTGAAAAAAGCAGAGGTCTCAGTGCTACAACCTGGATGTAATGCCCATGTGTTAAAAGCTTGGTGCCCAGCCTGGCACTATTGTGAGGTGGTAGAACATTTAAGAAGTAGGGTCTGGTGGGAGGCCTTCTCATCAATGGGGACATGCCCTGGAAGGGGACACTGGGACCAAGCTCCTTCTTCCCACTCTTCACATCCTGGCCATGAAATAAGCAGTTTCTTGCTCTGCCTCATATTCCCACCATGAGGTACTGCCTCACCACAGACCCCAAACAACGGAGCCAGCTGACTCCCTTGGACTAATTAGCTGTAGCCAATATGGCAGCATCTGTAATGTCCTATGGCCATGTCAGGGATAAAGTAAGAGAAGAGACCAAGCCCAGAGGAAGTAGGGGGCATCAGGCAGGCAACTAGTGAAATAGTCATTCACTAAACAAAAGTCCTGTATGTGGCCTACAGGACAAGGAAGGGACAGTGACATAATACCAAAGTGAAGACAGAAACCAACAGGAATGCAGAAACACCAGAGGTGGGGAGGGCTGAACATCCTAGGTAGGCTTGAGTCCACCCCCTACTCTCTGAGCTGGCTACCCAGTCCTGTTTGCTCATCCCATCTGCACACTACAGAGAAGAGCAGTTCCCAGGCTTCTCCATGGCGAGGTGACATGTGTCGTGCCTGGGCAAGGATTGGTGCTGCCTGCCTAGCCCCTTCCTTCTGGGAGCAGCAGCTTCCTCCCTCTCTGGGAGCGACTCTAGTGGGAACTGGAAAGCCACATAACCCAAGCCAAGCCAATCAGAGTCTTTCTGGTTTTTCCCTGGAAGTTACCTCCAGCCATGGCCTCAGAAGAAGCCTCCAGAGAAAACAGAGATCCTGTGCTGGGAGAAGCAGCATTCCCCAGCCGGTTCTAGCCACCCCAAAGTTTGGTCCAACTGCAGCCCCTTCTTTTGGATTGGTGACAAGCACCAAATTCTCCTTTGGGCAAGTGGATTCATTTCCTAGGGCTGGCATAATAAATTCCCACAAACTTGGTGGCTTAAAACAAGAGGGATTTATTCTTTCACAGCTCTGGAGGCCAAAAGTTCAACATCAGGATGTCAGTCAGCAGGGCTGTGCTCCTCTTAAGGTTCAAGAGGAGAATCCTTCCTTGCCCCTTCCATCTTCTGGTGAGTGCATACCTCTGACCTTCGCCTTGATCTTCACATGGCCTTCTCCTCTTCTTTCTCTAGGGGGACACTTGGCATTGGATTTAGGGTTCACCTGGGTAATCTACAATGATCTCATCTCAAGATCCTTAACTTCGTTACAGCTACAAAGATCCTTTTACTAAATAAGTTCATACTTACAATTCTGGGAGGTAGGACATGGGCATATATTTTGGGGCGCCATCATTTAACCCACTGTTGCAAATCTGTGTCCCTTATAACCAAAACAACTCTCAGTAGCTCAGTATCACATAACACAAAGTGCAGTTTAACTTGTTTGTGGTTTGTTTTTTGGTTTTGCTGGTCTTATCTTGGGGGGAGGAGTAAATTTTCACTTTGAAATAATTTTGGATGTATAGAAAAGTTGCAAGAATAACCAAAAAACCCCAATATCTTTTACCCAGGTTTGCCAATGATTTATATTTTATCTTATTCACTGTCATTCTCTCTAGTACTACCTAAATATATTTACACACACACACACACACACTTCAATGAAAGCACCATGCCCCTTTTCCACTAAATATTTCAGAGTAATTTCCTAAGTACAACAATATCTTCTTAAAAACAAAAATACAATCATGAAAAACAGGAAATGTAGCACTGTTACAATTCTGTCATCTAGGACCACACTGAGCTAAATCCCCAGTACCAAAAAAACAAAAACAAAAAAACCCAATTCTGTTGTCTAATCCATAGTCCCCGTTCAAATTTTGTCAATTATTGCAATGATTTCCTTTATAACTATTTTTGCCTAGTCCAGAATCCAATCCATATTGCACATCTTTTTAGTCTCCTTTAATATGAAATAATTACTGAGCCTTTCTCTGTCTTTCTTAACTTTGACACTGTTCAAAATTCCAGAGGCCAGTTATTTTCCCAAATGTCTATTTGTCTGATGTTTCCTCCTGGCCAGAATCAGATTATACTTTTTAGCAGGGATATCACTGAAGGTTGTACCCTTCTCAGAGTATTCAATACCCAGAACAAATCCTTCACTTTATTTATTAACACTTCCTCTTCTATATGACACAATTCTTTTCAAAAATAATCACAAAATGATATGAATGATAATGACCATCAAAGAAACACAGTTATGCCAGTAATGATATGAGAAAATGTAATATGTTAAAATATTCTAAAAAGGAAAAAATCATGGATTGATGATTTTTAATTACATTGATATAGTTTTTAAAAGAAAAGGGGAAATGTAGATGTACACACTGCTCTATACCTACACCTAGAGATGCAGAATCACTTTACAGTTACTATTTTTGTGACTTAGCTTCTACAAATTTCTCATGATTTCACCAAAACTAATCTTCTGCCTATGTCCTTGTTTTTGGTACCAGGGATTGAACTCAGGACCTTGTGCTTGCGAGGCAGGTCGTGGTACCACTGAGCTACATCCCCAGCCCCTGTCCATGTTTAATAAAGGTGGCTAGATATATAAATCTATCTTTATAGTTGATAAAAATACAATACTTATTAACTTTAATTTAGAAAAGTTTCTTTCATATGAATCAACAAGTATGTAGTTTTTAAAAGACTTAAACATAGGGGTAAGTCTCGACAAAACTCATTAAAAAAATCTCCTTTCATAATATTTATTATTATTATTATTATTATTATTATTATTGATGGTGTTAGGGATTGAGCCCAGAGTCTTGTGGTTGCTAAGCATGAGCTCTACCACTGAGCTGCATTCCCAGCCTCTTTTGTACTAAGTACAAGAAACTGTAATGTTGCCCATGGTTTTGGGTGGGGGATTAACACTGATTCAAACATTTCCAGTCAAAATATCTTCCCAACAGAGTTAAAGCCATCATATTACAGTGACACATATATATACCCTTGTTTATAGCAGCACAATTCATAATAGCTAAATCTTAGAAGCAACTTATATGTCCATCAACAGATGAATGGATAAAGAATATGTGGAATTTATACACAGTGGAGTAGGACTCTGCCATAAAGAAGGATAAACTTGAGGCATTTGTTAAGTAAATGGATGCTCCTCAAGACCATAATGTTAAGTGAAATAAATCAGACACACAACATAGTTTCTCTTATATTTCTCAAAACCCAAAGTATAAATAAAGAGAAAAATAAAAGATAGAAAATAGGAAGTAGGGAGATCTTTCTCAAAAGAGAAGGGAAACAAAAGATGAAGAGAGAAGGAAGGAAGGGAGGGAGAGGGGAGGGGAAAAGAGAAGAAGAAAACGCAAATCGAGCTTTTGTATGAGGAGACCAAGAGTTGGAAGGAGCAAGGAGGATGGGAGGTATAGGGTACAAAAAAAAAATTAAGATATGTTAGGGCTGGGGATGTAGCTCAGTGGTTCCGCCACCTGCCTTGCAAGCGCAAGGTCCCGAGTTTGATCCCCCATACCAAAAATAAACAGATAAGTTATGTTCATGTACCAACTCACCACAATAAATGTAATTGTTATGTACTGCAAACATATACAGTATTAATAAAAAAAGACAGTAAAAAGTTTCCACTATATTATATTTACCAGAAAACTCATCAACTATTTCTATTATATTTGGTTTAAAAAAACTTCTGATGTTTTTTCTTTTTTTGTGAAAACTGACAAAATGGCTGAACATGGGCATTATTTCCTTCATTGTCTTTGAAGAGTATCCAATTCTTGATGAAGACGATCGTGGCATTCAGACATTTCCCCTTTATTTCCTTTGGCAGCACAAGACTAGAATATTCTGTTGTTTTTTCCAGCTCTCTTCTTTGAGATCTGATTATTTTCTCTATGTAAATGTTCATTTCCTTACATTTTGTTGTTGCAGTGTTAATGAACTTAACAGTTTTTGTACACCAACCTTCAAGGAGCAATTTTAAAACTTGATATTTTACTGTACAGTGAACAGGGCTGATTCTGAATATTTTTGTGTGTGATTGACCTCACCTGAAACTTCACTCTTGAAAAAAAGACAACTCAGTGTGAAAAAAATTGTCACATACAGTAGAGAGCAAAATCTGAACAGATTACTCTTCAGTTCACACAGTACTTCAAACGTTGAGGTTAACTTTTCAAACACTGTCCGTACTGCATGCACAGCTTCTTGCGGAGCCAGCATTTCATCTGTGAAAGTCTTTTCACTCTGACATCTTTATCCTGCAGCATTTCCCATCAGTGAAGTGAGACTGAAAAGAATGAGTACATTTTCTCCAAGTTGCAAAAAGCGTCACACATGGAAAATCTCCAGGTAGTCACATACAATGTCAGAATTAAACTAGCTTGGGTTCGGTTTCTTTGCCATCACTCTGCCATCATCGCTTATTTTGAGTCTCCGCTTTCAGTGCAAGGATATGCAACACAACAGGGGTTGGAGACACAGACTGCACCAGAGTTGCAGGACTGAGAAGATCCAAATTGAACTTCCTCTGAAAACAAATACATGTTGCAGAGTCCACATAGGCCCCAGCCAACTGTATTCCTGCAAACTCCCCAAATAAACGTGTACTTTGAACTCAAAGTTTATTAAAAGGTAAATAATTAAAAATTTCTAATTTAAGGGCTGGGAGTGTAACTCAGTGGTAATTTGCCGAACATGTACAAGGCCCTGGGTTTGATCCCCAGCAACCCCCTCCAAAAATTCTAATTTGAATTATATATATGTATATGATTATTTATACATATATTATTGCTTATATATATGTATATATAATATATATGAATATATAATTAAATCTAAAAGGTAATTAGAGAAATTGCATAGATAATTTCAGAGAAAACTGATACTGGTTGTCGCTACCACCAGGCAATAATAAAAAGCAAGTCAGTTTTAGTCCATACTACTTTTTTTTTTGTATTAGGGATTTTACCCACAGCCTTTGCACTGAGGTATATCATCAGCCCTTTTAAAATTTAATTTGATTTTTTTATTTTGAGACAAGATCTCGCTAAATCACTAAGTTGCCCAGGCTGGGCTCAAACTTGGAATCCTCCTATCCCTGCCTCCCAGAGTTCTGGGATTACAGGTGTGGGCCACCATGACTGGCAGCTGTTGTTGTTATTGTTCTTGTTTTTGAGACAGAGTCTCACTTTGTAGTTCATTCAGACTGGCCTTGAAATGACTGTGCACCCTTGGGGGACCTTGAACTCACAGCAATCATCCTGCCTCAGCCTCCTGAGTACCTGGATTAAGACATTATTTTTAAATTCTTAAAAAATGCCATTCAGCCTTTAACTGCCAGCAGCCTGAGCAGACAACTCCCCATCACATATCCCCCCCAAGCACAACCCTGTTTGAGGACATCAGATCAGGAAGCACATGATGTCACTTTATCCCAATATTGGTGATGTTTACTTTGATCCTTTACTAGATATCTTTGTAACTAAAAAGAAGTCACATGAGAAGAAACTCTGAGACCACACTAATAACCTGTTTCTCATCAGGCTTTGCCCATGAGTCATACCATCCTTCAGTGGTTTTTCTAACCCATTCTTTCCATATGTAGTAGTTGGCATTTCACTGTAAGAAAAAAACATTTTCTTCTCCCAAATTTATGTAATTAAGTATGTCAGTATGGACTCAGAGATTTTTGCTTTTTCAATGAGTTATAATCCATTACTATTGTTATTAATTTTTTTTTTTTTTTTGGTACCAGAGATCGAACCTTGGTCCTTGTGCTTTCGAGGCAGGTGATGGAACCACTGAGCTAAATCCCTGGCCCTGTTATTAATTTCAATTTTCAAATTTTCCCTGATTTGGCCAGTGGGAGCCTCTTCAAGTTAGCTCTGGTGTTCTTTGGACACATTCTTATCATTCTTTTGAGCAGTCCCTTACTTTCTGGTGTGAACCAATGTGCATATGAGTATACCTTGTGTATATGTTCAGTAAGTAGTAAGTACCAGGAGAATGATGTAAGAACAATGAGTACCAGACTGACCTAAGTACCAGAGAGAATGTCTGGAACTATTATTGGGGCCCATGCCAAGAATACTGTGGCAGGAGAGAGCAAATCTGAGCTTTTGACTTTGTCTATAACTCCCCACCAGAGTGAGTGTGCTGCCATTTCTGTCCAGTAGCATAAATACTTCTGTGTATAATCATCTTTGTGAATAGTATTTGATAATAGCACAGCAGATGCAAGTTGAGGGATGGAGGAAGTGGTGCCTGGCTTCTAATGGTTCTCCCAGTGCCAAGGCACCATGTCCATAGTCCCCTTGCCTGCAACCAACATTTATCTTTTTGTAAATCACTCCTCTGGTATTAGTTTACTCAGACTGCTATTAAAAAAATGCTCAGATCATGTGGATTCAACCACAGATATTTATTTTTTACAGTTCTGGAGACTGGAAGTCCAAGATCAAGGTGCTAGCAGGGTTGAATTATGGTGAGGTCTCTCTTCAACTTGCAGAGGGAAAGTTCTCATTTTTTTTTTTTTTTTTTTTTTTTTTTTTTAGTACCGGAGATCGAACTCCGGTCCTTGCGCTTGCACAGCAGGCAGCAAAACCACCGAGCTAAATCCCTGGCCCGGGAAAGTTCTCACTGTGTTCTCACATGGCCTTTTCTTTATGTAAACATGAAGAAAGAGAAAGCGTGTTCTTATACCTCTTCCTTATTTTATTTATTTATTTATTCATTTATTTTTCTGTTTGCAGTTCTGGGGATCACCAGTCCTATGGGCTTAGGGCCCACCCTTATGACTTCATTTAACCTTAATTATCTCAGTAAAGTCCCTATCTCCAAATATAGTCACTTTGGGAGTTAGGGCTTCAATAAATACTTTGTGAGGAGACATGGTCCATAACATCTCCCTTTGTTACAGCTGTCTGACTCCTTCTTCCTGGCTGCACTGATTGGCTAAAGAGGAGGCACCTGAGCCCAGCTTGGCCAATCACATCACTTCACTCTCCTCAGCTACAAGACTGGTCCAGCCCAGGGTACATGAAACTGGCTTCCTCAGGGATTTTATTTTTTTAACTAAAAGCAAGAATCATAAACATGTTTTAAACTTAAAAGATAAGGTGGTAAATATTTTTTGCTTTGGGGAGTGCTATGATTTGAATGTCCCCTCTAAAACTCATGTTGACATTTTTGCCATTGTAACAGTATTAAGAGGAGGCACTTTTGAGAGGTGATGCCGGGAAGGCTCCTCCATCATGGGTAGGGATAGGGGCTGTTATGAAGGAAACAGTCCAGCCCCTTTTTACCTTCTTGTCTTCTGCCAAATAATACCTTCCACCCTGTTATGATACAGCAGCAAGAAGGCCCTCGTCAGAGGCCAGTATATTGATATTAGACTTCCCATCCTCTGGAGCTATGAGCCTGCATTTCTGCTCTGTATAAATCTCCCAGTCCCAGGTATTCTGACATTGCAGCACAAAGACAAGAGGAAGGGGCCATATATTCTCTGTCACAGCTATCAATGTTTTGCTCTGACCTTGCAAGTAAAAAGCTCTATAAGGTCATTCATAGATTTCATAGACACTAATTCTAGCATGTGGTTCCAGTATCTATTTGTGTGTGGGTGAGAGGCAGTTGTTTTGTTTCTTTGGGTTTTTTCAAAATTTAAAGTCTCTAAGTTGCCCAAGCTGGTTCAAATTTGCAATCCTGCCTCATCCTTCCAAAACATTTTCCACCAGTTCCTGTGACATTCTCAGCAGTTCCACTGTTGTTTTTTAAGTTAAAAAAAATTTATTAGTACATGCTTGTAGTATGTAATGTCTACATTCCTTGCAGGGAGTTGGTCCATGTACATAACACAGCTTAATTCCTTTTTTCATCCCCTTCCTCTCCCCTCCTACTCTCCTTCCTCCATCTCTTGATGTTCTCATCTGAAAAAGATCTACTTCCTATTATCTATCTTTTATTTTGCTCTTTATTTATATTTTGTGTTTCTCATATAAGAGAAAGCGTGCACTATTTAGCTTGTGTGTGTGATTTATTGCACTTAACATTACGGTTTCAAGGTACATCCATTTTCCTACAAATGACTCAAGTTTATCTTTCTTTATGGCAGAGTAGGACTCCACTCTGTATAAATACTACATGTTCTTTACCCAGTCATCTGTTGATGAACACATAGGCCACTTCCAAGGTTTAGCTATTAAGAATTGTGCTACTACGAACACGAGTATGCACGTAAAACTGTAATATGATGTCTTTAATTTGGGGTGGGGGAAGATAACTAGAAGGGAAATAGCTAGGTCAAATGGAATTTTATTTTTAGGTTTTTTGAGTAATCTCCATACTGATTTCCATAGTGGTTGTACCAGTTTACATTCCCATGAACAATGCAGAAGAATTCCTTTTTGCCTCCACAGCCTTGCCAGCATTTCTTATTATTTGATTTCTCGATAATAACTATTCTTACTGGGGTAAGATTCAGTGTTGTTTTAATTTACACTTCTCTAATGGCCATATTGACCATTGTATGTCTTCTGTGAAGTGTTTGTTCATTTAAGTTGCCCATTTTTTGAATGGTTTTTTTTATTTGGGGGTTCTAATTTTTAGTTCTCTATATATTCTAGATTTCAGTCCTCTGAAGAATAGCTGGCAGAAAATCTCCCGTTCTGAGGTTGTCTTTTCACTCTGATGATTGTTTCTTTTGCTGTGCAGAAGCTTTTTAATTTACTATGATCCTAACTGTTGATTCTCGGTACTATTTTCTATGCAACTGAGGATCTGTTCAGAAGATCCTTACCTATACCTATGATTTCAAGAATTTTACCTATTTTGTCATCCAGAAGGTTAAGTATTTCTGTATTAACAGTTCTTTGGTCCATTTTGATTTTAGTTTAGGATGTGGTGAGAGATATGGATCTAGATTAAATCTTCTGCATGTGGATACCCAGTTTTCCCAGCACCATTTATTAAAGGGCTATCTTTCCTCCAGTGTCTTTTTGGCCCCTTTCTCATAGATCAAATAGTTAAATATGCTTGGGGTTGTTTCTGCATCCTCTATTCTATTCCACTGATCCTTATGTCTGTTTTTGTGCCAGCCTCATGCTGTTTTTATCACTGTAGCTTTATAATATAACTTGAAGTCCAGTATTGTGATGCTTCCCACTTTGCTCTTGTTGTCCATGATTGCTTTAGCTATTCTTGGTCTCTTCTCGATTCAAGTAAATTTTAGGATGGTTTTCTCCAGTTCCGTGAAGAATGCTGTTGAGAGTTTGATTGGGATTGTATTAAATCTGTATATCACTTTTGGAAGTATGGCCATTTTGACTCTATTGGTTCTATCTATCCAGGAACAGGACATATCTTTCCATTTTCTGATGTCCTCTACATTTCGTTTTTCAGACTACTATGGTTTTCATTGCAGAGGTTTTTCACTTCCTTAGTTAGATTAATTCTTAAGTATTTAGTTTTTCTTGGTTCTATTATGAATGGTACTTTTTCCTAATTTCCTTTTTGGGGTATTTATTATCAGTGTACAGGAATGCTATTGATTTTTGTGTGTTGAATTTGTATCCTGCTACATTGCTGAATTTGGTTATTAATTCTAGGAGTCTTGTGATGGATTTGGGGTGTATTCT